CCCCCCCCCCCCACTTTTGAGACAAGGAAACTGAGGCTTTGTGACACTGAGGTCCTTGCCTTAGGTCACACAACTGCCAGGAAGTGGCAGGAACAGAATCTAATTGTAGATTCATCTGATTCCCAAAAATCATGTCATTGCTACTCTGATATACTGATTCCCAAGTTCTGCAAAGAAACAGACAAGCAAATCAGATGAGCTGCTATTTCAAAGGAGGGCAGAAGAGATTCATGGCCCTTGGGGTGAATCCGGGACAAAAGTCTTGAGATGACTGTGCATTTAAAATGTAGGCTTTTGAATCTTTAAACCGCTTTCAGCTTTAATGAATGTTGAGCCACTTAAGTGTCCCATGGAAATATAGCAGGCATCTGGGCGGTTACTATTTTACCATTTTGTTTAAAACATCACATTACTATTATTATTAACAGAACTTTATCTAGTAAAAGCAGCAACAAATACTTTTTAATCAATGGAGTTATAGAAATATATCTATATCTATATATCTATATATCTATATATCTATATATATATATATGTAGTTGAAAACATACACTGTTCATTAGAATAGTCCCTCTGCCTCACAGGTGTTTGTTCCACTGGCTTGCATATTGCTTAGTCCCTTGGAAGTCTCCAAAACCCAGTGCCTAGAGACTCTCCACTGTCAACAGAATAAAGTCCCAATACTACCCACAGCAGTAAGGCCCCACCGATGGCCCTCCTGCCAGCACATCACCTGCCGTTCTCTTCTCACCCCTCAGCAGTCAGACAGATCAGTCCCCTACCCCCCACACTATGGCATGCTCTCAAATAGCCCCAGGTCTTTGCATACAGTCTTCTCTGTCTGAAATGCACCCAACTACTATGTATTTGTAAGCCCCTACTTAAATTTCAAGACCCATCTCAAACTTCATTCCCTCTGGGAAGAACTTCCCAATCACTCTCTGCAGTGGGCACTCCTTCCCACATATCCATATCCATAAAATATCAAATAATAAAGACACACTTGGTATCTCTTTCTCTCTTCCCGTGGATTTGAGCCACTTGAAGAATCATATTGCTTTCATTCTTATACTCTGCCACGCTGCTAGGTACCTACTAGGTATTCAATACATGTTTGATGAAAGACTGAATGAATGGGTGGCTGAAAAGAGAACTGGTAGCCCTGAGGAAGCTGTCATGTGCTCAGTGCAATTCTTCAATTCCTTCCTTCCTTCCTTCCTTCCTTCCTTCCTTCCTTCCTTCCTTCCTTCCTTCCTTCCT